TATGTTTGTGATCAGTGTTGGACAAGTTACTTTGAAAAAATAGTTATAGTTACTTCTTCAAAAAAGTTAAAAGTTAAAATATTCTAAAATTATATGTGTGGCAAATTATTGACAGCTGCCCAATTCACAAAGATTGTTGTTACATTAACCTTATGCTGACCCAATGTTGATGATGGTGTGATGATGAAAAGCACAAAGATCTCAAGTTATTTCTTCCTTATTTATTTATTTATTTATTAAGACCTACAGATCAGTGTGATTCAGAGTTGTAGGCAGTTGTATTTTTCATCCTGTGGCAGAATAACATTACAGACACTCAGAAGACTAACTTGATTTTTAAGGCTTTATAGTCAAACTCGTTTCTGTAACCCAAACTTCAGGATTTAAAAAATTTCACCCAGTGAAATCCAGTGTATTAGCAGTTAAAACACTACAGATTACTCAGCTACATGCTAAACATTGCTAACATATGCTCTAATAGTCCATTGACATTTCAGTTTGCAGTAAACAGAGACAATCCAAAAAATCCAGACAGCTAATTAAACACTGAATATATCATAACACTTTAATAACATATAACTAATATTTGGAACGACACTGATGAGTCACAGCTGACTGTCATCTCTGTCACTTTGCTGGACAGAAGGGGCAGGAGTTGTTCTTGCTGGACTGCAGCCACACCTGGATACAGTCTTTGTGGATGGTGTGAGAGCAGCTCAGTGGGTGGCGGCTTTCTGGGTCCACGTGGTTCTGGCACATCAGGCAGAGTTTACGGGGCCCGGCAGCGTGTCCACTTGGTGCTGCTCTGTGAATGGGATTCATTGGCCTCTGGATGGGGCCTGGGGCAGTGGGCCGGCTAATCGGCCCTAGAGCTGACCTCTCGTTTTGGGCCAGCCTGAAGCCAACCTGCTCGATGACTTCCTCCATGGACATGCCGGCCAAGGTACCACGAGAGCTTTTCACCTGCTGGAGCAGAGACGTCAGCTGAACCCTGTTGCATTGTGGGAACCTTGCACCGAGCTTCTCCAGGACTTTGTCCAGTTTGCCTGCCGGTGCAGAGGAAGCTGCAGTAGTAGCTACAGCGTGGGGTGGTGGGGAAGGAGCTACGGGGTGGGTGGCCTGAAAGGGGGGAGAGGGGGACAGACTAGGAGGAGGAGTCACCCTCACTGGGCCTCTGATGTGAGGCAGAAGCTGAGGGGGAGGCTGGAACTGAGGTGGAGGCTGGTCCTGCAATGATGGGGAGGGTTGGAAGTATTGCTGGGGTGGGGGGTGATGGTAAGGGGCACGGTACTGGGGATGGTGCGGGTGAGGGTGATGGTGCTGCTGTTGGTAATACTGTGGGTGCCGCTGCTGTTGGAGGGGTCGATGAGCTGGGTTTGAAAGAGGCGGGGCCATGATGTGTGGCTGAACCAGTGACTGCATCACCTGATCGAATCGCAGCTCAGCCTGTTCGAGAAAACGCGTAGTTACTAACAGAGCTGATGACAAGCAGCCGTCTATGGAGGAGCATATGTAGCATTTATCAGTATCTTTCACAAAGGAATAGAGAGAAATAGAAATAGAGAAATCTGATAACATAGATGGGAGAGTGGGATGGACACGAAAACACAAGGTGAAAATAAGTCTCTAAACCCTTTCTATCATGACGAAACAGAAATAAAGATTTAAAAAGGTGAACAAATATGGGAACTAATACAAAGTAAAGTAAATAAAGAGGGAAATTAAAGCCTCAAGTTGATACAATGTGGTACATTTAGTAGTACATTTATTTCATTGAATTCGCTTGAGTCTCTCACCATGGGAACCTGCGGTAAAGAAGGCACATTGATCCTAGGGAGGGACTCCAACTCTCGCCCCTGGTGAAGCTGCTGCAGAACCTCCTGGAAGCGACTTTGGAGCTCAGCCTGGTTCCTCCTGACCAACGCTTCTTTCTTCTCCCACTTCTGTCTCTCAAGAGAATACTGCTGTGGAAACTCCACCCTGAGTGCGTTCAGGTATTGCCCCACCTAGGACATAATCAGTCTCACGATTATCATGACTTATATAAAGAAGGTGGCTGACAGATTAGGATTTGTTTATCTAGAACTGGGGTCTAAACCTCTTTCAGCCAGGCCTCAATGCGAGCCATGGCTACGTCTCTCTGCTTCTCCACAGCTGCGATCTCGTCCTGCAAGGCCCGAAGCTGAGCTTCCTGTGCTTCCTTCCTCACTCCCTCCATCTCCTGCCTCAGCTCCTCCAGCTCCTCCTGCCACCTCCGTTGTTCCTCGCTTTGCTCCTCTGTAAGCGCTGTCAGCTTTTTTTCACCCTCCTCCAGCTCTTTGGCCAGCCTGATTGCCAGAGGAAGATGAACAGAGAAGAGCAGAGTTAGCAAGCAGAACATTATTTTGTAACAAATTCCTCTTTTTAAAATTTAAATATATTCTAGTTTCTTTAATTTTCTGTCAAAAGGAATTAAGGC